GCGCCAGAAGAAGGCGCGCGACTGGGCCAGCTCGGGCCGTGTCAGCGGCACCAGCCGCGTCAGCGTGAGCAGGCGGCAGCACGCGGCGGAGAAGGTGACGCCGAGCGCGGAGAGCGCAATCGGGTAGGGAAAATGGAGCCCGTGCAGGATGTGGTTGTTGAGCAGGATCAGCAGCGGACCGAGGGTCATGTAGCCGCCGCACGCGGCGAAGGCGTACAGAGGGCCGGCCAGCCCGGGCGCTGGCGCAGCGGCCATCCCGAGGATTGAGTGGCGCGGCTGTGCGATGGCGCCAACACGCAAGCGCCAGGATCGGACGCCAACGAGAAGTGGAAAAGAAAAAGCTAACCCACATGAGAGGACGGCCCCTGTACCTAGCTACCTACCTCCCTCCCTTCCTTATGGGGAACTAAAAAAGAAATCAAAGGATGAGTGAAGGTGGGGTATACTATACCAACAAAGTGATGGCTGGTACTCTCCTGCAACCACAGTCCTTCCTGTGAGCTGTGACATGGCTCATGCATGGGTCATGGCAGGCCACTCTCAAGCCCTACAAGCACCAGATCACACACTTGGGGAGGGAGGTTGACATCGTGATTTATGCGGAAAACTTCTTTTTCTGCTGTGAAATTTCCGGCGTGAAGAGAGGGAAAACCCCTAAGGGAGGGCCCAGACCTACCCTACCTACCCCGTCATGACGTACGGCCAAGCAAAAATAACAGACACCTGCCCTGCACAACCAGGTTAGAGAAGAGAGAGAGAAAAAGCGGATACAAAACAAGAACACAACGCACTATCTCAAGAGAGATTTTTAGCAATACCACATGACAAGCGATCCCACGACAGCGATTGTGGATTTCTCTCTCTCTCTCTCTTGGCGATTGAGAGAGATTTTTATTAACCAACAAGAAATCACGACTCTCTGGCGATTGTGAGAGAGAGATTTTTAAAGACCTTGCGATAAAGACCTTGCGATTGTGTGTACATTTTTTGTGTGTGTACATTTGTGTACATTTTGTTGTTATTGTGTGTGGGGGACTACATGATCCAAAAGAGGTTACTGGCACGGCACCCGCGGCAACTCTCTCTCTCCCGCGGCGCTCCTGTGCTCGCGACGTGCCCGCGCTGCGCGTCCGACCTACGCGCCGGCGCTCGGCGCACCCAAGAGCCAAGTCCAAGCTGGAGTTGATCGTTGCTTCCCTGCGGCGAACGCTCTCGGGCCGGGACTATTGGCAAAAGAAAGAAAAAAACAGCCAACGCAAGGGTGGGATGGGAGGACGGCACGCCGCCACCACACAGACCACACTCTCGTATTGGCATAGGAGATGTTTTTCTCGTTTCAGCCGTGCATTTGAGTCGCCCCTCTTTGCCTCTCTTTGCTCTCCGCCTCGCGCTCAAAATGCTCCCCTCACTCCAGCTGGTCGAGCGCGCCGAGGAGGCGACGCACGCGCAGGAGGACGATCTCGACGAGCCGGACCTCGGCCGGCTCGTGGTCATCCGCCGCTCGGGCCAGGACGGCGGCTCGTGCCCCGTGGCGCCAAGGCTGACCTTTGGCAGGCGCGTCGGCGATGCCCCGCCACCTGTGCGCGCCTCCGCGCCGATCCGACGCGCGTCCACCCCGCAGGGACCCCAACGAGTGCGACATCGTGATAAAGCTGCCCGACGTCTCCAAGGTGCACGCTCGGCTGGTGGCCACGGTCGCCGGGACGACCGTCGAGGCGCGCCGTAGAGCCGAGGAGCACAACCCGCTCACCCCTCACGACGCGCCACAACGGCTGCGTCGCAGGTGTGGCTCCACAACCTCACCAAGACCAACCCGCAGGGAACGCTCGTCAACGGCGCCCCTGTCGAGATCAACGGCAAGCGGCTGCTCCAGTCGGGCGACGTGATCGCCATCAACGAGCGCAAGTTCCGCTTCGAGTCGCCGCCGCCGCCGGTGGCGCTGGCAAAGCCGCGGGCGCCCACGCCCAAGCGGACCCCGAGCGGCTCGCCCAAGCGGCGGGCCGCCAGCGAGAATGCTGGC